CTTTGAAGACTTAAACAATTTTTTTTGTCTAATTTCATCCAGTTTCTATAGTTGCTATTTTTGTCATCTTCAGGGAAAATGCTGGTCAGAGAAATCCAGGTTTGATCTGTCCTTAATAACAGTGTTTCTCAAAGAATAGTTTGTAGACAAGTGCTAGATGACCATCTGTTACCTGTCTGCTGACAGAGATAGGTATAGAAATTGAGAGTAAACATTTAAAAACTGTATTGCAATTTATGCAAAATAACAGCACAGGATTTTATGCCTTCAGCTCAAAATAATCCTTTGCCAAAGTGGTATATTTGAGGGTGGTGTATTCTGATCCCCTTCAGTGTACACCTTGTGCCTCCAGACTTGTGATCTATTTTCTTTGTTTGATGCCTCGCCTTGGGATAATATTTTAATTATATAAACAAGCATGTTCATGATAAAATATTTAAAATTCAGATAGAAGAAAGAGAAGGAAAGCTAAACTCATTCATAATCCGACCATTTTTTAATTCTGAGCAAATCTCCCATGATTTCTCTCTGCATACAATAAAGAGGCACTCCCCATACTCTCCCATAGAAGGGTTTTTTTTCTCATCTCACTCCCTTAGAATGAAGACAGCTGGGAAATTCAGAACCTGCTTTTTGAAGATTCATGACAGCCCCAGGAACACCCCAAGATAGGAAGCCAGGGGAGGGGAGGGGGGATAGTAGAGAATAGGATAGGCAGCAGAATACATCAGACACTAGAATGGCAATATGTAAATCAATGGAAGTGTAACTGATGTGATACAGCAATCTGTATACGGGGTAAAAATGGGAGTTCATAACCCACTTGAATCAAACTGCGAAATATGATATATTAAGAACTGTGTAATGTTTTGAACTACCAACAATAAAAATTAAAAAAAAGAAATGAAAGAAGCTTTATCATTGCTTAAAGAATCATTACATTATTAAAGTTTATCAAAGAATTGAATTATCAATTTTGTTTAAAAGGTTCAAGGTTATTATATCAGGACTGTACTATGAATATGTACATATTAAATTTCTGTGATGAATAAAATTTGCATAAGTAACAGTATTTTTAGTTTTTATTTCTGTATCATGAAATTTAAAATAACAGATTGCTTTTTTTACTTTAATATCAATTAATATTATAAATAACTAATCAGATAGCTTTAATAAAAGGACTTTCACAGCAATGACTTCAGAATAATCCTTCATCGAACATGCCTGCATATTTAAAAACTTACACAGCTGATTTTGTTTGGCACTTCTGGCTATGAACCACTGAACTGAAAAAGCACATAATGACCAAAAGATTCCATTTATAATGCAACTAAAATATAATGCTGGAGCTTGGATGTGCTCAGTGGTAGAGTGCTTACCTAACATGCCTGAGGGTTGGATCCCCAGCACCATACAAAAAATCATATATATATATATATATATATATATATATATATATATATATATATATACACACACACACACACATATATATTATAATATATATAACATATGTATATATATAGAGAGAGAGAAACTAATAATCAATATTTGGAACCAATATAAAGAAAACCTTAAAGCTATAACTTAGAGATATGAGAAGAAATGGAGAAACATATCATATTCATGGATGAAAATGTCTTTAAAATTTAATTTCTAGAAGTTAGTTTATAAATGAATGCAATACCATCTTAGTCAAAATATTTTTAAAGATTTACAATTTAACAAAATGATTTTAATTTTCATCTGAGAGAAAAATTCATAGGAAAAAAAGAATAATGAAATGAGATGTATTTTGTCAAATATCACAAAGTGCCATTACAGTATTTAAAATAAGACAGGTGTGCCTTCCTGTAATCCCAACTTCTTGGAGGCTGAGGCAGGAGAATCAAAAGTTTGAGGCCAGCATCAGCAACTTAGCGAGACTCTGTCTCAAAATAAAAAATGAAAAAGCTAGGGATGTAACTCAGTGGTAAAGTGCCCCTGGTTCAATTTCCACTACCAAAAAATAAAAAAAGATAAAATGATATGATTCTGGATCCAAAAATAAACAGGTCAGTGGAAGAGAAACCTAAAAATACCCCATGTATATATGCGCATGTGCAGAGATTGTAATTTCAAGGACTAGTATTTCAGATATGATCAGAAGGAAAAAATAGATTGATCAGTGCTATTAATTATAGCACAGGGCAGTAAATAATTTCCAGTTTTTTCTAATTGACTGATTTACCCCATAGGCTCTGGCTTCTCACCACTTTGCAAACATGCCTGCCCTCATTTCCCTTTCCTCTTTTCCTCTTTAGGTCCCTCCAAAAAGTCTTCCTCTAGATCTCAGGACAGCTCCCAGATTCTTATGTTTTATTGTTATGGTTTTGATAGGAAGTGTCCCCCCAAAGCTCCTGGTTTTTTTTGCAGTAATATTCAGAAGTGAAATGATTAGAATGTGAGAGCTATGATCTAATCAGTCCATCCTAGTTTGAATGGACTGAGTGGTAATTGTATTCATGTGGGCTGTGGCTGGAGGAAGTGGGTCATTGGGGGCATGCCATGGAAGGATGTATATTCCCTGTGGCTCCTTCCACCCTCTGTCTCTCTCAACTTCCTGATCCCACCTTGAGTTGAGCAGTATTCCTTCACTGGGCCCTTCCCCCATGATGCACAGCCTCACCTTCAGCCAATAGTAATGGACTTCACTCACCATAGACTGAACTTCTGACACCGTTAACCCAAATAAATTTTTCTTCCTCTTAGTAGTTCTCATCAGATATTTTGTTCACAACAATGAAAGACTGACTATCACATTTATTATGCAATCAATTTGGCTCTCTCCTTTAGCCAACTCTTCTTCTCAGCTGAACAGTGCTTATCTTCACAATGCACAATTAGAAAGGAAAACACCTAAACAAAACCAATTCCTTCACTATGAGATATTTTTTTTCAGTCCTCATAGATCAACTAGCCAGTTTATACTGCAGCCAGGTTTAAAAATAGGAGTTTTTTTTCCCACAGTACAAAGAAACAAAAAATATTCAGCCTCTGTGGTAATCAAAGAATTGTAAATTAAAGCAATAACAAATGACTTTTTTTTTCTCCTCTCTGATTGGCAGAGATGAAAAAGAGTAGTCATTATACTGGTAACAAGATAGAGGAAAGGACACATCCACATTCACTAGAAAGAATATGAATTTTTTTTCTAATTTTAAAATGTTTCTGGTAGTATGTATATGGAAAATGTTATTGTATGTATACTTTAGACCTAGCAACTCCCACTCCTAAGAATTTTACTACATAGATAATCAGAGTTGTTCACAAAGGTTCACCCAGGCTTGATTTCTGATGGTAGGAAACAGATGATACAGTACTTCAGAGTAGACTAGGCCCTCAGATACATTTTGGAGAGAACCCTACTTAACATTGGAAAATGTCCATCAGGTGTGAAATGGAAACTAGGTAAAAATTGTGAAACCTGGTATAAATGTGGAAGTATTTTTATTTATATAAAACCACACCAAGATCCAAATGATATAATCAGCTGTTCGTTAAATATCTACTGTGTGCTCAGTCTTCTGGTGGGTATTGGGTAAGGGTGTGTTGAAAGTGTAAACCCTACTTGTTGTTTAGAACTTTACACTCTTGTTGAAGTGTTATAGGGTCTGAGATTGTGCGTTTGTTCTTTGTATTCCCAGTAGGTGTAGCTGTAGTCAACCAGAAGAGCACTGGACACAGCTACCAGAGACTTGAATCCTGTCCCTATTGTATCTTTGTCCAATCACAGATCATTTGAGAATGAGAATGATTCTGACCTCATGGGGTAGTTGAAGGGAGGTATGACAGGAAGTGCTCCGCATAATAAGTATGTTAGTGACTTTTTTCCCTTCTAGAAGTTTCTATTTCCTCAGTATAATACCTATAGCAGGTATACTGGAGACTGAGCCACTGGATTTGAAAACATTTTGTAAGGCTTAAAGCATGAAAATGGTACCTGTTAATATGTGAATAATTTCATTAATATAAGTAATGACCTAGCAATAGTTACATGTGCATATATGCGTATATGTATTTACATTATGTAAATGCCAAATGTTGTGACTATGCGTAGGTTGTTAAAGGAAGAAAGCAAAGGAAGACATTAATATAACTGGTGATCATTGAGGGGGCTTCGTAAGAAGTGGGATTGGAATGGAAATTTGAATCGAGGCAGTTATTGATTATGAAGAGCAGTTTATGCAAACGTGTATGTCCAAAAAATAAAAGGAAAAAGAAATGATATATTCAAGGAATGCTAAGAAGACCATTCTTGATAGAGAGGGTGGTTTCTTGAAATGCCATCGGACAGGGTAGATAGAAGAAAGCAGGTGTGGCCAAGACCACAAGAGATCTTACCTATCCTGTGAGAAAGAGAACCATTGTAAGTTTTAGAGCAGATAGTAACACTGTGTCACCATCACATCAATGTATTAGGATATATTTGTAGCAATTAACTTTGGTAACAGAAGTGTAAACAAAAATATAGATCAGCTCATTCTTTTTTTCCTTTCACGACACATAGCTCAAATTTCCCATTTGGTGTGGTGATAACTACAATAAAATGTTTTAAATCTTTGTATTCTTGAAGTATTACATTACATGACTAGAAACCGGTAATTTTAGAATTTGACTCAAAATGTGTCCACAGCCTCCAGCATTGCTCCTTTCTGGGACTTCTTATCATGATAAACTAGAGAAAAGAAAATTTATAGTCAGTTTTCCATACCTCGTGATATTGGATACTCCCATTGCCTTACTCTTGCTAGAGGTTACTTTTCCTGCACGTTTTCAATGTTAAGATGGTTATAATATCCTGTATAATTTATGCGCTTTTCATTGAAAGAAAGGAGATTTAAATAACATACAGTCATTAGCAATAAGTCAACAAATAACTTGATGACAGTGTATTCACTTTCAGTGTTGCCTTTTTAGACAATATTCCTTCTTACATTCCTTTTTACATTTCTCTACAGTATGGATGGAGCTGATCTGTGCTTTGAAATCGTAAAGCGAGCTGATGCTGGTTTTGTATACAGTGAAGCTGTAGCCAGGTATGTATCTGTATCTAACTCCCCAGAGGTGGGCCACGGATGTGGCTCAGATGAGTGCTACAGTACTTGCTTGCCTAGCATGTACAAGGCACTGGGTTCCGTTCCCAGTACTGCAAAAATAATAATAAAATGAGTCTGCAGAAATAAAGTAGAGGAAAGTAATAATGAAGAAATCACCTGCTCTTCTAATGGATGGTGAGTGCACCGCTGCTCCTTGCTGCAAGGATCACAGCTTTTCAATATGCATTAACAGAATCAAATAGTAACTCAAAGTGCAAACTACCAAACAATGAATTGGTCTATTTAAACATGGGTTTAGGGCTGGGGTTGTGTCTCAGTGCTAGAGCACTTGCCTAGCACGTGTGAGGCACTGGGTTCGATCCTCAGCACCACATTAAAATAAATAAATAAATAAAACAAAGGTATTGTGTCCAACTACAACTAAAAAAAAAAAAACATTTAAAAAAAAAACAGGGTTTACATTTTCACACCAGAATTGCTGTTTTTCCCATTTCTGATGCTTTTATACAAGGAGAGATTTGATAGCCCAGGAACCATGTGTAGAAATGAACTTGGGTTTCTTTGGTTTAATATTTGTTCTTTGACAGATGCACCTCATTAGTTCTTCCTTTTGCCTTTAGTGATATCACATTGCTATTGATCAGTTCATCTAAGGAAAAACACAAAGCAGTAAAAGAAACAACAAAAAAAATCATTTTTCTACTGAATGTATTTGCTTCAGGCCAGTGTATGGCAACTGTTGTTCTTAAATGGAGTTGTTATAAGACCTAATGACTCAAGATAAGAAATAAATATGAAAAATCATGGATGCCAAGCAAGCACTGGGCCACTAGCTTATATATTTAGAGCAATACAGCTATCTGCTTTGGATATATTAGATCATATCATAATTACACTCCAGTGGGTTGCCTGCTTAAAACATGGTGTGGTGCAGTATTGCATTCCTGTGATTCAGTAGCTGGGAGGCTGAGGCAAGGAGGATCATGAGTTCAAAGCTAGCTTCAGCAACTCAGTGAGACCCTGTCTAATAAATAAATATATATATATATATATATATATATATATATATATATATATATATAATTTAAAAAGGGCTGGAGATGTGGCTCAGTGATTAAACGTCCCTGGATTCCATCCCCAGTACTAATCAATCAATCAGTAAAACATGGAGTACAACATCCCAGCATCCCTCCTCAGTCACCAACCATAATATGTTGAAAGGTTCAAACCCACAAACCTATTAGGATTTATTAAAACCTTCTATCATTTGAGAAAGTTATATTAAATGATTACAACTTCCTCCTCCTACCATTCCTTTTATAATTATAGCATCATAGAAGGACATAGCTGGAAACAACTTAGAGACCATCCAAATACAACTTTGAACCCTACATGACTTGACTGTCTTCAAATTCATTGCCCTGAATCATCCTGTCTAGGGAGCAAGGACCCCAGTCTCAGAGATGGAGCAACCATGGCTATAGCACAGAGTAAAGAATATGCTCACTGTAGGAAAGCTGCTTTCCTACACTACTGGGGCTAGAGAGAAACAGCAAATGAAAGTTTATATATGTTAACTATAATTATTTCTTTAGATTCCTGATAACATGTTAAAACCAAAGCTAAATACCCTCTTTTGTGTCATGCTCTTTTTAAGTCCCGCTTACTATTGTTGGGCTCCTATCACAATTGTAAATTCATATTTTTTCTTGTACCTAAAAATTTTTTAAAAATTTCTCTAATACCAAAAATAGTCAATGCTATCCTGATTTTCTTGTGGCCTAGCTGTAAATCACTTTATATGACAAAATGAAAATATCAGTCTTTTGCATATTAATGCTTATATGTTTGGGTGTTTTTGTTTGTTTGGTTGGTTGTTGTTGTTGTTTTGTTTTTGTTTTTGTTTTTTTTTTTTTTGGTACCAGGGATTGAACTCAGGGGCACTCCACCACTGAGCCACATCCCCAGCCCTTTTTTGTATTTTATTTAGAGATAGGGTCTCACTAGTACCTTGGGGCCTTGCTAAGTTATTGAGGCTGGCTTTGAATTCATGATCCTCTTTCCTCAACCTTCTGAGTCGCTGGAATTACAGGCGTGCACCACCGTGCCTGGCATTTGTGTGTATTTTTAAGTAAGTTGAAGTAACTTGCCTTTGCTACTTTTTGCCAGGTGCAATGGCACATGCCTATAATCCCAGCAATTCAGGAGGATGAAGCAGGAGGATCACAAGTTTGAGGCCAGCCTCAGCAACTTAGTGAGGCCTTGAAGACTTTAGTGAGACTGCCTCAAAATAAAAAATGAAAAAGCCTGGGGATGTGGCCCAGTGGTAAAGTGCCCCTGGGTTAAGTACCCACCCCCCAAAATCCTACTTGTCTATATTGCAATTTTCCAAGGGCAGCATAGCATAAAATAAGGAAAGCCAAAAATTCAGAATTGTGATTCTTTTAAAATGTTTTTCCTCAATGGAAGAAGATTTTTTTTTCTTTTTTGAGCCATGGTAACCAGGATATCTGGCATATATGTTGATAGAGCTGATATTAAACCAGTATTACTTTTACTCTGTTCCCCAGTCATTTTTTCTTACCTTTTCTTAGCTTTCCCTTAACTTCAAGCCTCTCTTTTCCACTGGACTGGGCAGGATGATATCATGCAAAGGTGACATCGTACAATGAAAGAATACTATGGTCTCTCCCAATATTGAGATTTATAGAAAGGGCAGATGTTTATATTTCAAAATGAAAGCCTGTTGACTTTTAAATCCATTTGTATTTGCTGTTAAAATGGTGATTTTATGAAAGGAACTTTCCAGAATGGACCATAAAAGAGTAGCATTGAGACCACTAAGTGACATTGCTCAGGGAGAGATTTGGATACAATTTATTTTAAAAAGCAAGAGAGTATAATTTCTCATTTTTGTGAGTGTACAGGTTGCAGAATCACATTGGTCATGCAGTCACATATATACATATCTGATTCAAATGTATGATATGTCAAGATCATTGTACAGTCATATGTAACTAATTAAAACAAATTTTTAAAAAAAGCAGGGGAGAGGGCCCAGACAGTATTATTAGGTATGTTCCCTATTGCAGATCATCAATGACCATGTAACAAGGGCACATGGTTCTTCCTTTTGTGTACGGTGTCTGGCCAGATGACTCCTAACCTTCCTTTCTCCCTTCTGTTTCTGAGATTCATTGTTAGGAAATTCAGCTTTTATCAGTATTCTAGTGAGACCAACTGCAAGAAGACTCTGAGACACCAAGTAATGAAATTGCTAATGTTGTTTTTCCCCAACTGGCTGAGTTTCAAGAGGAGCAGCAAAGCATGGCATCAAATAAAAATCTGCTCAGCACTTAGTACAGCCCAATTAGTGATTACCTCTGTCCTTTCAGGGGTGATGAGTTGTGGAGTGAGCTAACATATGGAATCAGATTATCAAATCAAACTCTTGCAAATCAGAGAGATCTTTTTACCAAGTACCAAGCTTTACTGAATAATTTCAAGGATACAGGCAATCAAAAGGCTCAGCTGAAGCAGAAAGAGGCCTGGGCTGTCAAGGATAGCTCTCCACATCATTTCTTCCTGCATCAGTAATGCACCCTGGCCCAGAATAGATTAAGTCTCTATCCAAGGTTTGTGGGATTCTACATACACAGAGAAGCATTTCAATTATGAAACATCTCCGTTTTATACCCAAGAGAGATGGATAGCTTATGTGACATTCTCCAGGAAGCCATCTATGCCTCAAAAATCCCAGGTTCTATTTACCATAGATAATCTTAGCCAGGAACATTCTGTTAAGGACATTTCAGAGATAAGGTGTCTTCTGCATGGCAAATAGCATTAGTCTTTTTTACCCAGAGTTAACAAGGAGAGTAGACTGAGTCACCTCTCCTTTTCTTCCACCACTCCCCACCCCTAATAATGCCTACTTAAATAGACTTATTTTTTTATTAAATAATTATACTTATTTAATAAATAAATAAATTCACTTAAATAGATTGCTGGCCAGTTCTTTCCTTGCATGGAATTACCATCTTTCCTGATCCTTAGGGAAGGTGAACACAAACATATATATTGCTGAGTTTCTCTGTAAAGCAGGGACCATGATGCTTCATTAAATGAAGATTTGGGGGATTTTTTGTTTATATTTTTTTGTTTTTGGTTTTTGCTTTTTTTTTTATCCAGGGATTGAACCCAGGGCCACTTTACCACTGAACCACATCCCCAGCTCTTTTTTATTTTATATTTTGAGACAGGGTCTCACTAAATTGCTGAAATTAGCTTTGAACTCATAATCCTCCTACCTCAGCCTCCTGAGCTGCTGGGATTACAGGTGTATGCTACCATGCTTAGTTTAAATGCATTCTCAATTTACAGTATTTTTAACTTAAGATGGGTTTATACAGCTTCAACCCCATCATAAGTCGAAGATCATTTGTACTCTTGGTCACACACTGTTGCTAGTTGACCCTGTTTCCACATTTTAATGACTTTTTTAGAAATGTTAACTCCTTCTTTGTTCTTCACCTGTCCCCAGTGGAGGAATTTCAGCAGACTCCAGCTGCCCATGTGAGGGCTGAGACTTCCCAGGACATGAGCCTAGAACTAACCCTGCTTTGTTCAAGAGTGCCCCAACTAAAACCTGATTAGATTACAAAGAGAAATTGTACACATAGGAGGCTCTTCCCTCATTTGTCCTCAGAGGTAAATGGGAACAAGGCAGAATGTCCACTGTGGTGGCAGACAGAAGGCCCCACCCTTTGGTTAGAATCTTCCAGATAGTTTGTGCATGGCTTACTTAATAGCAATCCAGTGTGACTAAATAGAATTGAGTTTTAGAAGTTTTTTCATGTTTCACATTTTAATCTTCAGTTTGCAGAGCAATTTTACTTATGAACTCTATGAAATTCTCTTGACCTGGCTTAGAAAATATAGAACATGTTATTTCTTCATTAAGCTCATCATTCATGAGTCTGCCAACTTTTTCATTAAGTTCACTTTCTTGTCTGCTCACATAAAGATGTCTATAGGCAGCTAAAATAAAGGTGGGAGTTATGAACTAGGGACTCTGTGTATTAAGTTTTAAAAATAAAAAAAATTTACAGCTTTAAATTTCTTTAATTTCTTTTGTTTTCTACAGCCATTACATGAGACAGATACTGGAAGCTCTACGCTACTGTCATGATAATAACATAATTCACAGAGATGTGAAGGTAAGTCATTCTTATCACTAATTTTAATTTTATGAAGAGAAATTGACATAGTAAATGATAATCAGAAATTTTTTAATACTTTCATAGAGAGCATCTTACATGTAATTTTATTTGCAAATAAAAAAGGTATTTAGCTGCTTTATATTGAGAAAGTCATTATACTGATTCTTAATAGGAACACCTTATAATTTCAGTTTCCTTCTTTTTATTAAAGATTGCATACAATCTAACATTTCATTATTCCTCTTTTGCCATTGTGTGAGAGAAAGAAATGAAAAATCCAACAAATAGGAAAAATGAAACTCCATCCTACAGTGAGTTAATTGAGGGGAAAATTAGAATTTGGTTAATGTAGTAAAAGTTAACCATACACTTACATTTTCATAATGTTGCAATGTAAAACAGTCAGCATTGCATTTTCTTTGCAGGTAGTTTTTAAACATAGTGTGAAATCATAATTATAGATGCAATATAGTTTGTACCCTTAGAATATAAGTATGATCATTATTCATTCTTTCTGCCCATTCCATCCTAGTATCAAGTTAATGAGAACTCTCAGTTCCTGGCTCTGTAACATTTTCAACCAAAATATAGAGGCAATCCAGAAAGGACCAGTGAGCCCTTCTCCTGGCCTCCAGCCCCTTCAAGACTGAGATTCAACAGGGAGCCTCTTAGGTCTCTCCAGCTCTACTTTCAGACTCTTGATATTTTGTTGCTGGCCTCTCTCTAACCCCCAGCATCCAGAGACATGGTCCTTCTTCCTTCAACACATACTACTAAAGGCCTGGCTTCTTCGGTGTATTTTAAATGGCTAAAAAAAATTAAGTAGAGTTTATTTTAACAGAAATTCTTATAGTTAAAAACTGAGGTAAAGCATGAGCAATTCCAGAACCAGCTCATAGAATATTAAAACAGCAAATGAAAATCATTGGAGAATGTACAAAATACATATTAGTGTAAGTTAGTGTATAGTATCTTATTTGTTCTTTTCAAATATAGTGATAGGAAATTGATCCTGTTGTAAGAATGCAATACTGAACAAACCAATGGTTGCCTACCACTTTTATAAAAACAAATTTGTCAGTTATCCACAGAGTAAGGAGTATGGGAAGGTAAAGAGGGAGGGGAGTTATCAAATTTAATAGCATGCTGTGTGATTCTTTTGCATTTAATGAGTATGAGAAGGTACATATAAAGTAAAATATATCTATGTATATTATAAAATATATTCCAAAAAATGATGTAATAGCATTGGGTTAGAACTGTTTCACTCAAGAGGCAATTTCGTTTTGCATGAATTCTGTTAAATTCATGCAAAGATAATTGTATCAGCAAGATGTAATAAATCATGATTGACAATGCACTCCACTGGAATACTTTCAATAACATAGTCAGCTTTTGATTAGCCATGATATTTACTATAATGACAACTCCAAACCAAATAAAATCCAAAAGTAGTTATATTTGACTTCTCCTTCTAATTTATATTCTGACTTATTTATTCAACAAATATTTGAGCACCTACTTCATACAGAATATTGTGCTTGGAGACCTAAAAGGATTATGGTCTCGGGAAGGAGATAAGGTAGTGTATCTTTCATCAACTACTGTAGATCAACACATACCAAAATTTAGTGACTTGAAACAACAACTGTCATTATCCACTCATGGTTCTGCAGTTTGGGCAGAGTTCGGTGGGGACAGCTTAGTTCTGTTACCCATTGGCTAAGGCAGCGTGGCTAGTTTCCACACAGACTTCCCTCAGTTTTCTGGCATCTCAGCTGAGCAGACTAGAACAACGGGGAGCTAGACAGGCCCTCTTCGTTGTCTCTCATTCAGTGAGTTCTCTTACTCTTTCCACATGGCCCCTTCTCCAGCAGGAGAGTGGCTCGGGGCTCCAAAAGAGCAAAAAGGAAAGTTGCTAGGCTTCTTGAAACCTGGGTCTGGAATTTGTACTGTGTCACATCCTCTGCATTCAATTAATCCTATCAGTCGTAAAAAAGGTCATCAAGTACCAAATGCAGTAGCACACACATGTAATCCCAGTGACTATGGAGGCTGAGGCAAGAAGATTGCAAGCTTGAGGCCAGCCTCAGCAACTTAGCAAGGCCCAGAGCAACTGTCTCAAAACGAAAGAAAGAAAGGACTGGGAATGCAGCTTAGTGGTAGAGCACCCCTGGGTTCAATCCCCCAAAATGATCATAAGGCTAACCTGGGTTCAAGGGGAGGAAAAATAGAGTCATCTTTTTAAAATGTCTTTATTAGTACATTGTAGTGGTACATAATACTTGTTTTTTTTTTTTTACTTAATCATACATGCATAGAATATAATGTGCTCCAGTTCAGTTCCTAGTACTTCCGCTTCCTCTCCCCTCCTCCCTCACTGACCCTCTTCTTCCACTGCTTTCATCTTTTGTTTGGAGTAGTGCGGATATACACAAAAACAGAAGAACTTGTTGGTGGTCATCTTTATAAACAGGCAAACAAATAATTATTATACAAGGTAGAGGGATTTCATGGAGGAGGTCATGTTGGAGCCTGGTCTTGAGTCATGGGGTTGTTACATGGAGACAAGAGGACATTTCATAGAGAAGGAACAGTGTGTGCAAAGACCTCATGTTTGCATTGGATTATATTGGATTAGTTTATTATTTCTAAAGTACATGCCAAATAATTTTTAGGAAGCACCCAGAATCCTGCTGAGGAAGGAAAAAGAAGTCATTCTCAAACTGCAAATTAATAAGAAACACCTTTTTTTTTTAAGTCAGCAGGGAGACTCAACACAGAGTGCATATTAATGTTGATATTCTTGATATTTCAGTACCTGGAATCTATACATTTTGCATAGGTAAATGGAATACTCACAATTTACTTAATCAGCAATGTTGAATTTTGGTGTATTTTCTTAAGACATTCATCTAAAAGATATTTACTGACAGCCTGCTGTGTGGCAGGTACTGTCCTAGGAGTTGGAAATTAGTCAATGAACAAAGCAGACAAAAATCACTGCCCTTCTGGAACTGACATTCTAGTTCAGAAGAGACAGACAATAATCACTGTTTGTTTGTTTGGGGTTTTGCAGTGCTGGGGATCAAGTCTGGGGCCTCACATGTGCTAAACAAGGGCTCTACCCTGGAGCTACACTCCCAGCCCAAGACAACAATCAATAAGCACAAATAAGGAAACTATAGGGTAGGCTAGAATATGAAAAGGACTCAGGGAAATAAAAAGAGGGGCCACAAGGCCAGGGAGTGTTAGAATAGGGACAATATGCCATCTGAGCAAGGACTTGAAGGAGGCAAGGGAGGGACTGAGCTGATATCTAAGACGAGAATGTTCTAGGTAAGGATACAGCCAGTACAAAGGTGCCAAGACACGAACTCAAGTAGCCCAGCAGAGGAACAGCAAGGAGCAGGTATAGCTGGGGCAAAATGAACAAAGGGGAAAGTAAAGAGACAGGCCACAAACCTCCCCCTCCACCCTGCATCCCTCCCCAAGCCAACTTAGACCAGAGAGGCAGCAGTGGAAGTGGTTTAAACAAAAAAAAAAAAAGCAGTTATATTCCAGATATATCTCAAAAATTGTGTCAACAGGATTTACTAATATGACTTGGGTAATTTAGGTAAACTTAGTTTGATTGAGGACCTGGTTATGGAGGTATTCCCACATAGTGGACATTGTAAACCTTTCCTAACAATGCATTTCTCTCTTTCCCATTCTCATAATTCTTACCATAAGAGTTAAAAGCATGCAGTTTCTCAAAGGTCCCACCATTATATTGATTAATAATACTTTTTTCTTTACTTGGGCATTTCTTTTTGAAATCATCATACTTGAGTCTAAAAAGGATTGTTAGATTTGAGTGTACAGACCATGTGATCTGTAATGGAACCTGCTTGCTTTGGAGAAGCAATTTCACATGAAATTGCATTAAAAATAATGATAAGCCAGGTATGGTGGTGTATGCCTTTATATTCCAGAGACTCCGGAGGCTGAGGCAAGAGAATCACAAGTTCAAGGCTAGACTCCGCTACTCAGTGAAATCCTGTCTCAAAATAAATTTTTAAAAAAATTAAGAGGGCTGGGGATGTGGTTCCGTGCTAAAGCTCCCCTGGGTTCAGTCCCCAGTACCACATACAACAAAAAGTAATGGTACAATTCTTTGAAATTCAGGGAGACATGTCATCATAACACAAGTTCTCCCAACAGCCACACTAGTGACATTTGGGACCAGACACTTGTAGTGAAAGGTTATCCTGGGTATTGTAGCAAAACTTCTCAGCATCCAAGCCAATAGCGTCTCCTCTCAGTTGTGACAACTGAATAAGTCTTCAGACCTTGCCAAATGTTCTCTGGGGCAGAAAATTGCCCCTGGTTAAGACCCATTGTCATAATATTTCTCAGACATTAATTAAGGCATGCATGCAAATTTCCATTTTTTTCTGTCATCTTCTTCCCTTAATTCTTTTTTTTTCTTGTGAAAGGATGAGAAAATTTCCATTATGTTTTTATTTTCTTCCTCTCATCCCTAAATTAAAAGAACTTTGGAGAAAATTTGCACAGTCGTCCAACGAAATGCATCTGCTGGCTCCTTGCCTGCCTTTGCTGGCTCTGCTAAGCACACAGTTTGTGGAATTCTCTGGGCTCTCCTAACTCTTGCAGGCAGCCCCACAAGGCACCACCTGGATGTGCAGAACCTCAGCATTCCATAGGCCTTTCTGTCACTCTGACCTACTCAGGTACAGTTTTAATAACTGAACTTGAAGTGAAGCAGCTCCTCTGGGAGCACAACTGCTTGCTACACTGCTTTCTATTTTGAACGGGACCTATGCCCAGAAGGTTTAGGTGCTCAGTTTTTAGTTTCAGAACTGTGGAAACTCACAGTGCACATACACTAGCCAGAGGCCTCCCGCCCAATTGTTTCTGGGTATGCTTCCTATAAATGGTTTTCCTCACAACATGTGTCAACACGCCTGGCTGCCCTTCGCTCCCCTTCTGGT